ACTAGTGAAATCAAACCTCTATTTATACCAAGTCCCCACAACCTAAAATACAAGATCAATCGATGTGGTACATGTTTTCCCTTCATATTCGACTTATGACTCCTTTTTCTTGGCCTGTACGACAAGAAACAGCTTTCATAATAGTGGATGTTTTGGGGCTGCTATGGTCTTCACATTGTCCGATCGAATTGAAATTTGGTCACGGGCATCATACCAGCCACTTGGGCCACTGCTGGTTTTCTTGGTCCAGGGGGTTGGGCTTTGCTCTATTTTGATCCATCTTCCTTCTATCATAAACTTTCCCCTCAATTAGAGACAGAGGTATTGGGTGCATTTGGAGGCAAATAATTTATATCTCTACAACCAAGTTTTCTTGTAATTCAACCCTAAACAGAGTAAGTGACTCGCCACAGATACACCGTGAATTAATCCAGACTAGAGCCGAAGCATAAACTCTAGTCGGGTGCAGTATAGGGAAAGTATGTTTAAATATCAACCCGAACCGGTCCATGTACCCCTACTTAAATCACATAGTTTGTTATCTAGAAAATTTTTTTGGGTTTAAAACTAACTACAAATGAAAACAAGCAAGTAAAGTAAATCGAGGTTGTCCCAATGAAAGAAGAGTTCACCCGGGTATTGCTCCCCTTAGCTACATATCAAGATCGACCAAATCAAATGCAGATATGTGAAAGTGTGTTCATACATCGTTAAGAGGGCGCAACAAGTGAAGGAAACCTCACTCTCTTAATCAATCGGTTAAGGAAAAAAACTAGGCTAGGAACCCTAGCTCTCTCAATCAATGGATTAAGGATTGCTACAATAAACTAGGAAGTCTAGCTCTCTTAACCTTTCGGCTAAGGATTGCAACAATAAGCTAGGAGTCCTAGCTCTCTTAAATAATCAACTAAGGGTTGCAATAATCGATCCTCGGAACTTAATCCGGACCGCAAAATAACACCCAAGTTAAAGTGCTAAATCAAAGATTGAGGTTTGCCCTAATTCGCCCTAGGTAGGTGGCTCAATTGGCCAAGGAATCCAACTTATCAAAGCCTCCTAACAAAAAGGGGAATTCCCTCTACCCATGTCAAATTGGCATAGTAATGAGAAATGAAGAACACAACCCAAACATCATGAAAATACCTCAAACTTTGCATTAAACACAAACCCACACACAAAGCATTCAATTAATAGAATCTATCACATATTTCAAGCTAGGGTTCACAACACCCAAGCGAATAGATAGGCTATTCCATAGTTAGGCAAAGGAAAACAAGAAAAGGGAGAGAAAGAACCATGAAGAGATGACAATCTTCCTTTCTCTTTGCTTGAATCTCCCGTGAGAGGTAAGAATCTTCACTCCTCTAGCTTAGGGCAAGCCCAATCTCCTTCTTCCTTCTTCGAATGACACTTTCTCTCTCTAGAATAGGAAGAGGAAACCTTAATGTCTCACTAGAAACCCTCCTTTATTCTGAAAACTAAAACTCTAGAAAAAGCACCCCTTCTCCTTCGGCTCACTTCCCCTTTTATACCCAGATCGACGGCTGTTCACAGTCTCAGTTCACAACTGTGAACATTTTTCATGTACCGTGAAGTCGAGCAGATTTGCACCGTTTCACTATGTCATTTCACGGTCTAGGGCTTGAGTTCACAGTCGCATGACCATGAACTGACTGGACTCCAGTGAGATTGAAAGTGTTCTGGACCCTCCGTTGAATGTATATCTGACTGTGTTAGAGTTTGTGAATGGATTAGATTGTTTCAGTGATTATATGCATCATTTATGCTTGATTATGCTTGGTCTAGTCTCCCAACTCTTCCCTACTAACCTACAACTGAGTCTACATAAGTAGGTGGGAATTTTAGTGTGAGACTGGTGAGCACCTTAAGGATAATTAAAGGTTGATGAATGATCTTAGGGTTCCTTTTAGTGGATGAGGCGACCAAACCCTTGCTATAGGAATGCCTTCCGAAGACAATGCTAGAGATGATGCAAGCGTCATCGATTCATTGCTTTAGTGTGCATGAAAGGTTGAACCTATTGAGAGGAACTAGCGCTTATGCTCTAGTATGTAAGCTTTGACTGAGGTGACAATGGGTATCTGGGAACGTACTTGGAAGAGGCAGATTAATCATTGAAACCCTTACTTTAGCAGGTGCACTTTAGCGGGTTCCGCACCTCATCCTGCAAATCCAATATAGTTAGTCATTTGCATCAAGAATTCAGATTTAGGGATGTAGCGAAAGTGGATGTTGTTCTTGGCATTAGCTCTAAGAGTGGCAGTATTGGTCAGGGCAAGGGTCACTCGGAATCTTATATGGATTAAATGCATAGAGAATGGGAGGAATGGGTTGATGTGGCCTTTTCCTAGAATTGGGACCACCAAATGTGGCATAAATGCCCGGTTGGAGGTAAGGCAATGGCAGGGGTAGAATTTTCTTTTCCTCTCCCATGTTTATGACTTCAAACCGATTAAACGGAGTTAGCAGAAACCAGATGGAAATATTCACTGAAGGGTAAATTTGATATCATGGTATTAGTAGGTCAAATTTAATGTAAAAGATAGTATAGGGGCATGTTCGAGAAAAAATTATAGTAGATGAATAAATTATATTATTAACCCAAGAAAAAACTAAAAAAAGAAAACTAGTACCATAAACATATAACCATCAAGACTCCGTCACGATATCCGCCTAGTAATGTTGAAGAAGCACTAGAGTTTGGTTGGAGAACTCGACATAAAGAGGAGGGAGAGAGAGAGAAGTTTTATTGTTGGAAAAGAGATAAGATGGTATACGGAAAGTCATATATGGAAGAAGGATTAATAGGCATACAAGCCTTGTACTATTGAAAGATAACAAATGAGCCCCTGTATTATACTTTTAATGATAGAAGCCCATGTACTATATTTAGATAACAAATACGCCCCTCCGTCTATACTTCCGTTAAGTAACCTGCCACATGGCAAAAGCATGTCGAGTCAGCAAAAAATTGGTCCTAAAATGTTCCTTTTGCCCTTATAACCAAATCCCTGCAATTTTTCTAGTTTCTCACCCCAACGAGCAACCTGTACGAATGTGATATATTTATACAAAATAAATAAAATAATAAAATGCTTGCTACTCCATTTGCGTCGTGCTGTTCATGGAGCATTAAAAACAAATTCTTCATTATTGTGTATTTTTTTATGAAACACAAACAGAAAAGCTAGAAGCAACACCAATTATATATTGCAGGACCATACGCTTCTTTGTTCATACATCAACAAAAACAAAATCCATCTACGACAACCAACTCATGCGGCTTATATAAACTAAACCAGATAAATTAATACTTCCTTAGTTGAGCAAAAGTACAGTTTGATGAGTTCGTGACCAACATTAAATAAAATCATCCATAAACAATGTAAGATGGATTATTAATAAGGTGCAACTAATCTAGAACTGTGTTGTCATGGTGGTGGAGCTTTCTTGTGTTTCTCCAAGTCCCTGATTCAACTGCATATTGTTGTTTCCTTTGTGGTACTTAAACCATGCTCTGAGATGACATTTCAAGTTGCAAGTTAAATAGTGGCAAACATCACATTCATTACTCTGTACCCTTCATTATCATAAGCATAAACACCACAACAAAATAGGGAAATGGTGCAAATAATTTTTCTCTAGTGTATACACGTTTCTTCTTTGGATTCTTTTGGTTTTCCCTCTATTCTCTAGTGATAATTCTTTTTCTTTGGCCTGCACGGCATTCTGCGGAATGTGGGAGGGATTAATGGCTCTGTCACTAGACTCCCAAGATGATGGTCCTGCCATTGGGACCATCACATGCTTATATGTGCTCCAAAATTTTGGAGATGGAGAATCATTCAGAAATATACTTCTGATCATGTTTCTCTTCATACACCAAACATGTTATGGTATGTGGGCATGGGAATCCAGACAATTCCCATGACCTACAAGAGCATGACAAGGTAGCAAGATCCCCCATGAATCGGTCGTCACGATGGGTAACTCCGTAACCATTATTAAAATTCCCAACAATGTGGCAAAAAACGAACCTCTTTTGCATTTTTCACGTATTTCTTCAATGTCCGGGGAGAAATATTAGATTCTCATTTTTCTCCAATTGCCCTCGTTTGTTCTATCCTTACCATATGCATAATTCAGAGATCTTCAAACATGTTTAATATAGCCTTGTGTAGAGGTTCAATGATTAAGGCATTCCAATTCTCAAACTTGTTGTTATCTACTGTATCACACTTTGTATGGTGTTGAGAAATGAGACCGACACCAGAATTTTTGGTTTGCTGAAAACATTCCAGATGCAGCGTCATTGTTTAGTGCCTTCAGTTTTTCAAAGGCAATAGAGATGCCTCTCAAAGTGGTAGCCATGACACATTGCCAAAATATTTTTCTGCCATTCTTGCTTCTCGAACCTTTTCCTCTAGTTACACTATATGTGCTTAGCAAAATAACTAAGCTATTGTTGGAACCGGCCCCTACAAACAACACACACTCTTAATAGTACACTACAACAAATTCGGCCTATTATGACGAGAAAATTTTGTCATATTAGATACCGATTTTGTCATATTAGGTATAATATGACAAAAGGTGTTGTCACAAAGGTTTGTCATTTTATCGCCGTCAAGATAGGTCAAATGTGACAAAAGTTTAAAACAAGGTTGTCACATTCGCTTTCAGTATAACTGAGGTTCTGGGTAATCTATTGTGACAAACCGAGATGTTATGACGATATATTTTGTCATTACTTTTGTCATAATTTGCTTATTTTGACAGAATTGTTCGTCATATTATACCATTATATTTTGATATCACATAATTGTGAGGAACAATTTTTTGTCATAAATGCATGTTTGACGAACATATTTTGTCATAACTGTATATTAGGACGAACATATTTTGTCATAATTGCATATTGTGACCAATATGATTTATTCATCAATACATTGAATACATATAGTTGAAAAGATCAATATTCTTGTATCGTATAGAAAAAAATTCCCAAAACCCAGAAAATACAGTGTCATCTAGAAAAACCCCAAACCCAGGAAATAATTTCTGCCCCTGCCGTTGATGACAATATACTCTTCTTCCTCACTTCCGCCGCGCCGACAACACATCCTTCTCCTGCCTGCTGTTGGAGCCATCGCCTACAACGAACAAGAAACAATAACAAACCAGAAAAGAAACCCCAAATCCAAACCCAGAAAATGCAAATTTCATCTTCTTCCAATCTCTTCTTCCTCACTTCCACGACCGCTGAGAACCCATCCCCTCACTCATCTCCAGAAGCCAAAAAACCTATCTTCTTCCAATCCCAAAACCCCATCTCTGGAACCTGCCCCCTCGCTGAAAACTAAACACCCAAATAAGAAAATAGAAAAAAACGAAATCAAAATCAAATCTCCCAAAATCAAACTTCATATTGAAAATAAAAAATACAACCCACAAAACATACCTTCCATTCTCTTTGATTTCCCCAGCAAAAGAGAAGAAAGTGAGAAGGGGGAATCGAAATTGGACAAATCCACCCCCAATCTGGATCTGCCTATCATGCCAATTAGTTCGTATACCAATTAGCCATTTTCGATTCCAAATGATTCGATCAAAATCAAATAGGACAAAAGAGATAGATGCGAATACCTAGATTCTTTTTCAAAGCCGACAGCAGCGCCTCCGTCTTTTATTGGAGAGTGGATACGCCCGATGCAAGACCTCAAACGAAAGATGCTGCAGCGAAAACTTCAAACTCCTCGCCGACTCGGTGATGAGGACGATAGGGACTGGGATTGGGGTTTGGGTGTGCGAGAAAAAGTTGGGAGGTGGGGGATTTGTTAGGAGTTGGATAGAAAGGGTTTGGTTTGGGTGAGGTGGAACAAAAGTTGGGAGAGCTAGGGAATAAAAGGCGGAAGATGATTGATATAGAGGCTTACAGGTTACCGCTAAACGATGTCCTTTGGTGTGTGAAGGAAGGACGACTGTGGAGGAAGAGAACGGCGGCGGTGGTTCTGAAAGGGTGAGGCAGAGGGTGATAGTGTGAGACGAGAGGAGAGAATCACGGCTGCTAGGGTTTATTTGCTTTTATTATTATTTGTTTCTTCAACCCAACACAAGATATAAATAAATGAAATAAACGAGGAAGGTAGGGAGGAAAATTTCTGTGGGACTTGGGAGGGAACTTTGGGCGGGCTTAATAAAATTTGATTGGGACTTAGGAGGGAACTTTGGGCGGGCGTAATAAAATTTGAGAGTCAAAAAGTTAAAAACTAACCTTTTATTTTGAGGAATAATATGGCAAAAGCTACTCTGACGATATAATTTGTCACTTTTGTGTCTCTTACACCTCGATTTGGGATGCCTATTTTGACAAACTTAATTGTGACACGAAATATTTGTCACATTACTCACTTCAAATGACAAAATATTATGACAACAAACAATTTGTCATAGTTGAATCTCTTACATCCCGATATGAGACGCCTATTTTGACAAAATTATTTGTGACACGAAATATTTGTCACATTACTCACTTTAAATGACGAATTATTCTGACAACAATATTTTTGTCACATTAGGCATACCAAATATGACATATTCTATTTTTGTCATATTACCATACCTATTGTGACAAACAGAAAATGACAAAATAAAATATTTGTCCTAATAGGCCGAATTTGTTGTAGTGGTAGTAGGGAAAGTCTCATGAAGTAAAAATCAGAACTAAATATGAATAGTGGGGTTACCTTCATTTGATCTGATATAAAGCTCCAACCAATACCAATATTAATGTTTAAGTCATCCTCTAATTGTCAAGGAAACCAATCGTAAGGATCTCTAGGCTCCACCTCTACGACGCACCATGCAACCAAAGACAATTGGTCATTTGCATCACTACCTATGGCAGCAAGTATCTCACCTTTGCATAAGCCCTTCAAGAAGCACCCATCCAATCCTATAATCTTTCTGCTTCCTTCCAGAAAACATTTTTTCAATGCATTAATGCATATGTACATCAGCTTGAATAATGGTTGTTGTTCAGGATTATGTCGATCAACCATAATTTTAACGGTCAATCATTTGTTCCTCCTTTTAATCTCTTCCGCGTAGTTCCACAAGAGGGCATATTCTTGTATGTGGCATCCTTGAGTCATATACATCACAAGAGGGCATATTCAAATGTGATTGGTATGCTTTTCTTCAAATTTAATTTTGACCTCTTGACATTGTTCAACACTTCAACTCAGTCTTCTATCTTAGCCACTTGCCCAAGACCTAATCTCAAAGTCACTATCCTCTAAATCTGATGCTTCATCCCATTCACCTGTTGGATTTGGCGACTCATTATTCACAACCACACTAATATCATCACCCATTCCACCTGATTTCGTTTCAAGTGAAATTTTAACCTATAAACAAAATAATGGAGTTGGACCAAATAAATAATTTAACTCCAATGTATAAGGGAAAAGTACAGAGACACTTTACCTATGTCTGCAAATTTTGATGGGTGATCCTAGCTGCCATTTGTTTCTTATTTTCTATTTCTAAATCAAAAAGCATAAGTAGGTCATCCACCAACAACAAACCTATGAACCACAAAAAGCGTGTATGCCTATCAACTCCTAACTATAGTTTTAAGCCTAATACAAATATTGTACTTGTTGTCCCTATAGAGCAACGACAAGCAATCAATTTTTTCCATTTTTCAATCGAGTAATAAGTAATAAAGTACCCCAATTACCGAAGTCAAATATCATATGAACAGATAAAACCACCTTACCCAAAAAGATAAATATTAGGTTTGATATTGAGAATCACACACTCCCTTGAAAAATCTCAATTCAACCAGCAATCAACCTTCTATATTACTCTAGGAACGATGTTAAGGGGAAGAACTATTAAATTTCAGTCTTAATCGAGAACTGCAAGGGGGCTTCGACTTTCTGCACTACGGTAGTCTTCTTTTGTGAAGATGCAACAGCCTTTTCACATTGAGATTTCTTTTGGTGTTTTATGAAGAGCACGATGCAATGGAGTGGAAAACCTTTTATTCTTATTTTATATAGTAATATATATTACATTCGTAAATGTTGGATTGGGAAAGACTTGGTGATAAGGGCAAAAGAGACATTTCAATATCAATTTTTTGTTGACTCATCATGCTTTTGCCACATGACAAGTTACTCGACGAAAGTTTAGACGGAGAGTGATGCATTTCCCCAAAGTTAGCGAAGGGAGACCCCCGGCCAGCAGGGGCAGAATCCCCAACCGGGCAATTGAAGAGGGGGTCGGGGATTTGGGGCAGAAGAACCCCCGATCAAAAGGCCTTAAACCCTTGACCAGGAATCGGGGCTGACGGACAAACTTCCTTTTTCATTTAGGATTCTTTATTCCTTTTTTGGTATTTTCATTGTTTTAATTTTCTAAACCTATTTAAAGGGTTGTAAACAAGAATTTTGAGATTTAGACTTTGATTATTTGAAAAACTCTTTGTTCATTGAGCATTTTGCTTGTGAATTTTGCTCTCGTCGTTGGTGGACTCCAATTATGTTGAGTGTTTTCTTTATATCAATCAGGTATTCCCCCTTGATGGTGGTCGAGCTTCTATCCTTATATTAATAGAGCTTTCTCCCAGGTGTGAGATTGAACTCCAAATCGGCCTTATCCTTCTATTTTTCGTGTTGTTGAGAAAATAACAAAAAATCCTAAAAGTATTGAGGTTGCGTTACTTTGATAACTACGAGTACATGATTCGTGCTCGTAACAAGTGGTATCAGAGCTCCGGTTCAAATCAATGGCAAGGAAAATATAACAAGCTTTCTTCAAGCTCGTGCAATGGCGAAATAGTTGGAGCAACAAGGTAACTCATTCTGCACCCATTGCTTGGTCCAAGAACAATTTTTTTCGATGTTTGTTGATGTATAGATCAAATCCAATTTGATCAGTTAATGGGCAGTAGCTATGTTAGGATTATCTACACAACAAAATCCTAGCCTTTTCTTTATGCAATTGTCGATGGAAAAGGCCTTTTGTTTTATGGTTGGACAAGTGTCTTTGGAGTTCAAAATATGCACCTATGTGGATAAGATTCTTTGTGATATTGTTCCTATGAAGCTTAGTCATGTGGTGTTGGGTAAATCATGGCACAATGATCGCCAAGCACGACGAAGCAGCAACACCAACAACAGAATCTTAAGACATCAAGAAAAGAAATTTACCTTGAAGCCATTATCATTGGAAGAAGTTTTTGAAGATAGGAGGCAATTACAATGAGCCTAGGAGGAGAGCAGAAGGTCCTAGAAGCAAAGAAATCATTGGCAACAATAGTTATCAAAGAAACAACGACTATAGCATAAGAGGCTGCTGAAGAAGGTGTTATGGAGTTGCAGCTATCAAACAACGAGCTTCTTGTGGAGAACATGCATGCATTGGGTGAACTGTAGTCAACGAAATCAGTCCGACGACCAAATTATCACTACCGGCGAAATCCAAGATACAGTGTCGGATTTTGGAACTTCTATGTGCTAAATCCAGCCTAGAAGGATTGAATGAGGATGCCAGTACCTTTAAAAATGAGATTCGATCAATTCAAACCTACTGTGTCGATCCTGGAGGAAGAAGAATTGACTGGAGAACCTAGATGGAGGACTCAAGGGACGAACTATGACGACTTGAGCTTCATAGTTCATGGATTGGAGCTTGTTTGTCAAGTTGTTTGAGCTCTTGATTCTGTAGAATTGTGGAGATTTATTGTTCTTTCATGATTATGATCATGCAAGAGATTTCATTTAGAAGCCAGGCTGGAAAGCTTTGAGGAAAAAGCTTCTTCAACGAGGAGGGACTAATGTAATTCACCAAAGCTAGTGAAGGAAGACCCGTGGCCAGCAGGGGAAGAAACCTCAACTGGGAAATTGAAGAGGGGGCATGGATTTGTGGTAGAAGCACCCCCGATCAGAAGGGCTTAAATCCCCCGACCGAGGATCAGTCTTGATGGTCGAACTTCATTTTTCGTTTAGGATTCTTTTTCCTTTTTCAGTATTTTCATTAGTTTATTTTTCCATGCCTATTTAAAGGGTTGTGAAAACTAATTTTGAGATTTAGACTTTGAGTATTTGAAACACTTTGTTCATTGAGCATTTTGTTTGTGAATTTTGCTCTCATCGTTGGTGGACTCCAATCGCATCGAGTGTTGTCTCTATATCAATCAAGTATTCTCCCTTGATTGTGGTCGAGCTTCTACCCTTATATTGAATTATTGATAGAGCCTTCTCCTAGGTGTGAGATTGCATTTTAATTCGGCCTTATCCTTCAATTTTTCGTATTGTTGAAAAAAAAACCAGAAAACCCTAAAAACACTACCCTAGCTTGATCTCGGCTCGTTAATAAACCAGTGGAGCTCAAGCTGGACTCATTTATTAACGAACCGAGTCGAGTTCGAGCTAGCTTCCATAATAAAATCTTGACTCGTATTTTATATATTCATTTTGTTTGTCATATGACACGCCAAAACACAACACCAAACTGCGACCAAGGGTAATCGCAGTCCGGGAATGCAGTAACAGGCAAGTTCAATTATCAACCCGGGGTCTAGATCTACTGCTTACTCCGTGATTCTCTATTATCTAGCAAACTAGTTCGAGTGATTGTTGTGAAAAGTAAAAGCAACAAGAAAGCAGTAAA